ACACACACACACACACACACACACACCACACACACAACACACAACACACACAACACACAACACACACACAACACACACACACACACACAACACACACACACACACACACACACACACACACACACACACACACACACACACACACACACACCACACACACACACACACACACCCTTTTAAGAGGGTCGACCTCGATGTTCATCGTAAAATTGGGGCGCTGGTGGCTCAGGGGTAGAGCCGCCCCATGTATCGAGGCTACTGTCCTCCAAGCGAGCGGCCAGGTTCAAATCCCACCTGTGGCTTCTTTCCCGCATGTCATTCTCTCTCTCTCTCTCTCTGATTTCTGACTCTACCCACTGTCCTGTCTCTACATTAAAAATAAAAAACTTTTTGTGCCCTTAATGTAAGAGACAGGACAGTGGGTAGAGTCAGAAATCAGAGAGAGAGAGAGAGAGAATGACATGCGGGAAAGAAGCCACAGGTGGGATGTGAACTCGGGCTGCCCGCTTGAGACGACAGCCTCCATACATGGGCGCGCGCACTAACCACTGAGCCACCAGCGGCCACAAAAATAAATCTTATAAGAAAAAAAAAAAGGAAAAGTAAAAATGAAAGCCCGACCGATATCAGCATATCCAGTGTACTATCGGTATTGGCTAATTTTAACACCGATATGAGCCGATATTACAAGTTTTATTCAGCAGTCAAAAAGCATATCATTTGAGTTTTATTGTATTACACTAACAGTTCTCTTTCACCAGCAGAGGGCGCTATATGGATTACAACAAAATCGTACATGCTCAGTTACTTTCCAGCTGAGTGACATCTTGTCTTCATTAAATATCTTTTCCACAAGTGTTTGATAACTGCATCTGAGGGATCAATAAAAGTGTATATCTATATTCATCTCTCTAAGGATTGAACTTAAAACCAAGAAAGATATCGCCGATATATCAATTTCTATATCGGCCCCAAAAATCCCACATCGGTCAGGCCCTCGTAAAAATTACATCAAAATCTCAAAGGTTTAAATCCATAACTGTGAAGTGAGACTGTAAGAGGAAATCTGAGGAAACAGTTTGAGAAGTGTGTCGTCTGCTTCATGAAAGTTTTAGATTTGAAATTCATCCTCCTCCTCCTCCTCCTCCTGCAGGTTTAGATTTTGTCCCACATTCAGACCCTTAATACTTCCTTTATTTTACACCTGATACTCACACTCTCAAATGTGATCAGCTTGGCCAGGTCTTCTTTGTGCAGCGTCACCAGGTCGAACCACTTCCTCAGCAGGACGCTCCTCTCCTGCAGGACGACCAATCAGATCACACCATGAACAACAGGTTTCATCATGTTTTCCATTCAGTTAATGTTTGGAAAAACTTGGCGACAGCAGCTTCCTGTGAACGGTGACGGATTACTTTTAAACTTTAGAAAACATGAAATGAATAATTCACAGAGAGTGACGTTAAAATCTCCAGGGACACATTAAAGGGGTCAATCTGGTAAACGGACTTGAGCTTGTTTTACTTATTTTCTAGTCTTCTGACTACTCAAGGCTCTTTTTACACCGCAGGTCACACCTACACATTCACACACTGATGGTAGAGGCTGAGTAAAGAGTCCGTCAGTATTAACTCATCCATCATACACTGATGGTAGAGGCTGCTGAGTAAAGAGTCCGTCAGTATTAACTCATCCATTCACACACTGATGGTAGACCGCTGAGTAAAGAGTCCCAGTATTAACTCATCCATTCACACGCTGATGGTAGAGGCCGCTGAGTAAAGAGTCCGTCAGTATTAACTCATCCATTCACACGCTGATGGTAGAGGCCGCTGAGTAAAGAGTCCGTCAGTATTAACTCATCCATTCACACGCTGATGGTAGAGGCCGCTGAGTAAAGAGTCCGTCAGTATTAACTCATCCATTCACACGCTGATGGTAGAGGCCGCTGAGTAAAGAGTCCGTCAGTATTAACTCATCCATTCACACGCTGATGGTAGAGGCCGCTGAGTAAAGAGTCCGTCAGTATTAACTCATCCATCATACACTGATGGTAGAGGCCGCTGAGTAAAGAGTCCGTCAGTATTAACTCATCCATTCACACACTGATGGTAGAGGCCGCTGAGTAAAGAGTCCATCAGTATTAACTCATCCATTCACACACTGATGGTAGAGGCCGCTGTGTAAAGAGTCCGTCAGTATTAACTCATCCATTCATACACATTCACTTACTGATGGTAGAGGCTGCTGAGTAAAGAGTCCGTCAGTATTAACTCATCCATTCATACACATTCACTTACTGATGGTAGAGGCTGCTGAGTAAAGAGTCCATCAGTATTAACTCATCCATTCACACACTGATGGTAGAGGCCGCTGTGTAAAGAGTCCGTCAGTATTAACTCATCCATTCATACACATTCACTTACTGATGGTAGAGGCCGCTGAGTAAAGAGTCCATCAGTATTAACTCATCCATTTATACACTGATGGTAGAGGCTGCTGTTAGAGAGTCCGTCAGTATTAACTCATCCATTCATACACATTCACACGCTGATGGTAGAGGCCGCTGAGTAAAGAGTCCATCAGTATTAACTCATCCATTCATACTCATTCACACACTGATGGTAGAGGCTGCTGAGTAAAGAGTCCATCAGTATTAACTCATCCATTCATACTCATTCACACACTGATGGTAGAGGCTGCTGAGTAAAGAGTCCATTAGTATTAACTCATCCATTCATACACATTCACACACTGATGGTAGAGGCTGCTGAGTAAAGAGTCCATCAGTATTAACTCATCCATTCATACTCATTCACACACTGATGGTAGAGGCTGCTGTTAGAGAGTCCATCAGTATTAACTCATCCATTCACACACTGATGGTAGAGGCTGCTGTTAGAGAGTCCATCAGTATTAACTCATCCATTCACACACATTCACACACTGATGGTAGAGGCCGCTGAGTAAAGAGTCCATCAGTATTAACTCATCCATTCATACACATTCACACGCTGATGGTAGAGGCCGCTGTGTAAAGAGTCCGTCAGTATTAACTCATCCATTCATACACATTCACTTACTGATGGTAGAGGCTGCTGAGTAAAGAGTCCGTCAGTATTAACTCATCCATTCACACACTGATGGTAGAGGCCGCCGAGTCAAGAGTCCGTCAGTATTAACTCATCCATTCACACACTGATGGTAGAGGCCGCTGAGTAAAGAGTCCATTAGTATTAACTCATCCATTCATACACATTCACACGCATGGTAGAGGCCGCTGAGTAAAGAGTCCATTAGTATTAACTCATCCATTCATACACATTCACACGCTGATGGTAGAGGCCGCTGAGTAAAGAGTCCGTCAGTATTAACTCATCCATTCATACTCATTCATACACTGATGGTAGAGGCTGCTGTTCGAGAGTCCATCAGTATTAACTCATCCATTCATACACATTCACACGCTGATGGTAGAGGCCGCTGAGTAAAGAGTCCGTCAGTATTAACTCATCCATTCATACTCATTCACACACTGATGGTAGAGGCTGCTGTTAGAGAGTCCATCAGTATTAACTCATCCATTCACACACTGATGGTAGAGGCTGCTGTTAGAGAGTCCATCAGTATTAACTCATCCATTCACACACATTCACACACTGATGGTAGAGGCCGCTGAGTAAAGAGTCCATCAGTATTAACTCATCCATCACACACTGATGGTAGAGGCCGCTGAGTAAAGAGTCCATCAGTATTAACTCATCCATTCACACACATTCACACGCTGATGTAGAGGCCGCTGAGAAAAAAAATCCATCAGTATTAACTCATCCATTCACACACATTCACCACACTGATGGTAGAGGCTGCTGTTAGAGAGTCCATCAGTATTAACTCATCCATTCACACACATTCACACGCTGATGGTAGAGGCTGCTGTTAGAGAGTCCATCAGTATTAACTCATCCATTCACACACATTCACACACTGATGGTAGAGGCCGCTGAGTAGAGTCCATCAGTATTAACTCATCCATTCACACACATTCACACGCTGATGGTAGAGGCCGCTGAGTAAAGAGTCCATCAGTATTAACTCATCCATTATTACACATTCACACGCTGATGGTAGAGGCTGCTGTTAGAGAGTCCATCAGTATTAACTCATCCATTCACACACATTCACACGCTGATGTAGAGGCTGCTGTTAGAGAGTCCATCAGTAATAACTCATCCATTCACACGCTGATGGTAGAGGCTGCTGTTAGAGAGTCCATCAGTAATAACTCATCCATTCACACGCTGATGGTAGAGGCTGCTGTTAGAGAGTCCATCAGTAATAACTCATCCATTCACACGCTGATGGTAGAGGCTGCTGTTAGAGAGTCCATCAGTATTAACTCATCCATTCACACATTCACACGCTGATGGTAGAGGCTGCTGTTAGAGAGTCCATCAGTATTAACTCATCCATTCACACACGGACGAACGGAAACTTTAAAGGTCAGACTCAAACGTGTGTGTGCAGCACAAACATGACAAGTTAATGTTTTAAATCACAAACTGTTTATTCAGCTCACCTTATGTCACCTTTACATCCTGCAGAACTTTAGACTGAGACAAAGATCTTCTACTGAGGTACAGTAGTGGCACTACTTTGGTTTGCAATTGCAGCTTTAATAGCTTCAGGATTTGTGTGAATAAAACACAAAATAGTTGTGTTATAAAGTGAGTTACAATAATGCACACATCATATTCTGTGGAGCTGTTTTGTGAAATGAGCATTTCTACTATTTTAACCTGTTTTATGCTGACACTTTAACACTTATAAATACCATGATTTTGAATTCTACCACAGTATTTATACTCCTTAGCAATACTTCTTTAACTTAAGGAAAAGACCAGGGTGCATCTTCCAAAGCAGCTGCTTAGACATTAAATATTACTGTATTTTTCACCTCTTTAGAAAGTTGTATAAACTATTAAAGAATCAGTCCAGTG